CATGGCTGATAGGCAGAACCACTATAAGCACATATAATTAATGCAAAACATGCAAGGGAACAGTGGACATTCACAAGACCCATTCTTTGTCTTTAGACAATCATCACTGGATAATTAAATAGCAATCACATGTTTTACACATCACAAACACTGAGAAAACCGTAGCACATGCATTATACACAAGGAATATCAAAATAAGCGATTTTACCGAGGAGATTTTGGCAAATTTGTATATGAGAGTACGTATACTACACATTGTACAATATGTACAAAGACGTGCAAATGGGGATATGCCACATAATAATATTATTATTAATAATAATAATAATAATAATAATAATAATAATAATAATAATGCAGGTGGGAAATAACTTGCCATTGACCTTCGGGAAATCTAAGCTTTCCAAAAAAAAAAATGACACGACATTGCTGCAATGGATTCTTTTGCATCTCAGTTTAAATATTTAGCTCAATTTATGCATGACATGTGCATAATAGATAAACAATTTTATGTTGCAGAGACACAACAAGAAACATTTTTAAATGCAAAACAGAAAGGAGTTCAAGTCCAAGTCCGTCAGATGTCTTAAACACGCGGCCAGGAATAAAGCTAGAAAAACCGTAATCAGCATAATGGCAGAAGATTCTGGGATATTGATGACACTGGTTTGTTTCACTATATTGATACTGTAATCAATTAAAAATGTATCCGAATTTTTTATTTTTTTGCTATTAAACCCTAAACTGCTAAAATGTATCACATTTTTCTAATACAATTACGCCCCCCCCCTTCCCACCCCAAGCCATAACACATTCCAGGACAACATTTTAATACAGACGACATGCTGCATTACCACATGACTATGCACATCACAACGACAAAATGCAATCTATTTATCTTTGTTTATCCATTTTTGTACAACATCAAGTTACATTTCTGTGTCTTCTAAACTTGGTCGTGAGCACTTTCGTGTTCCAGTCTGTACACTTTATGTTCCTTACTGCTGCATGCATATTAATTTCCAACTGGGATCAATAAAGTATATCCAACTAAAAAAATATAAAAAATTTTTTTTAAAAAATCAATAAACAAAAATTTTCCTCAGTAAAATTATAGGTTGCATTCTGACATCTAATAGTTTCTACTCCTTTTGTTTAATATAAAAAAAACTTTTAAAATTAAGATTGCGGTAAACTACTTGCTAAGCAACCTGTAATAAATTATATTGTTAAATATTATTGAAATGTTACAGATTATTATTTGCTTAAAACAGCTTGGTACACTGCAATGTTTTTTAATTTGGCTTGTATTACTTTAAATTAGAGTCTTAATATGGAAAATAGGCCCAATGTCTGTAAAGAATTAAACAAGAAAAAATAAAAACTTAGCTCCTAAACTCTGCTCTCAAGTACTTCTGTTACGGGGCAAGCCTAAATGAGCAATGCTGTTTAAATGATTCATTATCATATTTCCAAATTCATCATATAGAAAACTGACTCTGGGGGGAAAAAAAAAAAATCCCAACGTTTTTTTGCAAAATACCATAAATAATATAAAGATTTTAACATGACATTCTGTTTGGCAGTATTAATGTAATATTCATTAATAGGTTATTAATAATAGTTATACAGTGTAAATGAGGAAACGTTGGGTAACAAATAGTTAACCTTGGGATTAATGCTAGGCTATGAAAAGGTGCCTTTTATCTACGTCTAAAGTAGCCATTTGGCGTTCCTGCCATAATACCGAGTTTAATTATTTCTTGTGTTCGGTCTTTGTTCTTATTTTTCTTTCTTCTGTTATGCCATATTCTAAAATACGGTTTATATATGCAATTAGTAATGCTGAAATGACAGCACATATTTCAGGGAAGAAACGATCCAGCATTAGTCGTCTGTTGCTCAAGTTTTTAAATTTGAAATGTTACATTCAAGTTTCAAAGGCTTAATTCATAATACCCTATTTTAATATAACACTGGCAAAACATTTCTTTACTGTGGAAGATAAACACGCACAAAGACGGTCTCAGTGGCTTTCTTACTTGTTTGTGATTGTTCATTCTATCTCCTCCCAAACAGGCTAAATAAAATACCCAGTTGGTAATTAAATTAAGGTCAGCCATTAGGGGTGTGTATTTAACTGGCACAATTAATGCAAAACCGTTCTCTGTATGTTTTAAAAATGAATGGAAAAATGGCTCAACACAATATTACGTGCTTGATAAGAACAATATAGATCGGACAACGTCGAAGTTTACGATATATATAAAGGGCTTTTAAAACTCCACACTTTTCGGTCATTACAACTTCACATGACAAATTATATGTAGTGATGTCGTTGATTTATCATTCAAGCATGTACAAGTTTGCAATTTTAAAATACAGAAAGAGGGGGGAAAAAAGTTCATAACGCGGTTTATAGTTTTAAAAGCAATGATGTATACGGTAAAGCGCATTTAGCGGCGTAAGTCAGTATCCCCTTAAAATTTAATGCAACTAATGTAATGGGCAGCGAAAAACTGGGTCCAGGTCCTAAATAAAACGTGTTTTCAGCAGTGCTTCAGTGATAATAATTAAACTTTTAAAAACACATCGGTTCCTATTTTACCCATATTATTGGACGTATCCATAGGTCTGCATTCCGCGTTAAGGCATTTCTTACCGTTTATACCAGGGGCAGGAGACAAGAATAATATAAATGCATATTTCTGAACAGAGCTTTTTTTGTAGATATACAGGCCCTATATATATTTTTTTGCAATCAGTTCCACGCTGTAAAACGTTTTAAAACAACACACCTTCATACTTTCATATGAAATAGTTTTACAGGCCTATATATGTTTCTTCTGTTATAGGTATATAACTTGACGCGTATGTCACGTAACCTCCCTTCAAGTTCATGGACTAGACTATGGTAAACTTAATAAGTCTCAATATTCCCCTCTATATATATACATATATATAAAAAATAAACATTGGACACACAACAAAAAGGACTACCGACAATAGCAGTAAAGAAAGTAACGTACGTAGGCCTATAGGCCTACAAAGTTAAATTTGACACTGTACTTACAAAGTGATTGATTTGAGTAGATGAAGCATAATGTATGGTTAAATTAACGAGAAAGCAATGTCATCACAGGAGCTCACTTTACTTGTAACGTTTAAGATAAGCAGCTATCGACAATGCCAGAAAAGCCGATATCTCCAAACCAGCCGAATTATTCACTATACATGACTACATTTAAAATATGTCTATGTTTTGTCGATCTGAGTTCATGAGTTTGGAATAGGTTAAATTGTGTGAGAGCTGCAAATGAACGAAGCTGAGCAAGAATGCGTGACCTGCCAGAAACTTATTAAATTCCTTTAACACTGTTCCAAGGTGAAACGCACGTATTTTTCCACATCATCTATAACGTATAGTGAAAATTAAGCTCAAAAGGGTTAATAACGATTTGCATTCCTGCATTCACAAGTAATGTATTGCATTTCGTACCAAAGAATAACTGTCCGAAAAGGAAAAAGCGGTAGGTCCAAACGCTATATTCCTTTAATAACCGGTATTAATGTATGACAAAGAATAAAAGTGTACTGCACACGTTGTATAATATTTTTATTTTCGGTTTATGACCTTTTTGTATATATCACTTTTTCAGATCGCCATCGCCTCATATGTTAGACTGATCTCCACCAATACAAAAAGGCAGCAGCATCTTTTGGGCTGAACTACGTCGCAGGCCAGAATGACATTAAACACCAGGGTGATCGCCGCACGGTGTCTGACTCTCTGCCATATTTCGCCCTCAAAATCCAAACGCTTAGGCTTCGTGATTTTCCTTCACATCGCCAATTCATCCGTATCACTCGGAAAAATACGTGACCTTCAGTGGTGGATTAAACTACCTATGATACAACCAACTCTTCTAATTTGTATTGCCAGGGCTGGAATTTCGCAACTTGGTCAACTTTATAGTAAAAAGGGGATTTGTTTATTAAAACACGGCACCGAAAAACCAACCCGTACTGCGGCCATAAAATTTTAAGACATTTTAAAAAGAGACCTGTAGACTTGGATGTTTATAAAATATGTAGAGATCTCCAGTTTCACCACATACACCGCGTTTGTTTAGTAGTGCCGCCCGTTTCGTTACAAGTTTGCGCGGAACCAACAATTTTTATTATTATTTTAGGGAAAAAGTTTCCATTTGATATAACCAGTTTTTCGGTCGCTGCGTTTGTATCCTTATGTAATGTAAGGAAGTTTTAGCAATTGTTTTACAACGCTGACAATGTGTACAACGATTTTTTTACAACTGGGACAAAAAGTGGTTGCACATGGGTAGGTAAAGTAATTAAATTAGTCCCGATATGTTCAACAATTGTTGCATATGAAGATAATCATTGTGTGTATTAAATCATCTTGGTTCACCTCAGTAAACCGCCGACTGGGGCGGCTGTTGGGGGTGGGGTGGGTGTTATAATCTTGATTTCAGACAGTCTCAGACTTCCTATAGGCAACTTAAATCGCACTTTTCATACTGTCAATTGAGTAAAGCATCCATTGTCTTTTCTTCTAGCCACACATGAAAGCGTTAAAATGACAATTGTTGGTCCACTTACAATACATAGGTAATGTTTAATTCTAATGACGTATAAAAATGTTTGCCAAATTAACCACATGACTACCTGTCGCATTCAACAACTGGTGCCTAAGAGACTGCTATAATTATAATCGATATTTAACGTATTATACTACCAAGTAATTATAAATCATGTCAAAACTATGCAGGATGCAACAAACAATAAGCTATATCATAAAGTAAAATATGACTTGTTAAATCTAAGAGCGTTGTTATTATTAAATTCTATTTGTTTTAGTTTGCTGACCGAAAAACTTTCATAAACCATTTCTATAGAATAACAGACATTTCTGTTCTTATAAATAGCGTAGACAGTATCAACACCCGCCCCCTCCCATTGCTTTTCTGATATCTTACCTTTTACTCTAAACTTGTTTTCGTGCTGTTGTTGCGATTGCCCGTCACTCCTTCCCCGTTTTTCACCAGGCAAGAGTATGAGTTTTTTAATATATTTTTTTACTTTGTTTCATTTCTCACTTCCATCTTCTTTCATCTCATCAATAAACACACGCTGCAGCCTACCTAGGCAAAAGACCTCAACCAGTACCTCCAGTTCCCGCCCGTTTTTCACTATTCGTCGAATATTTCGGATAGTCACGCCTTTTCATTGACGATTGGAACAGAAAATACTCTCTCCAAGCGCGTAGGTTGGGGAATAAATCGTTTAACATTACAATGACCCAATCATTACATTGCACACCCACATTTCACAGCACTGAGGAGCACTGAAAGTGACTCCATTACGGCTCTGATACAGAAATAGAATTTGTAGCAAATAAAGTGAAGCAATTTGATCCAACATGGAGAGAGAAGGTATACAGTTTCTGAATTAAATCTACGGTGGAAGACTCACGCATTTAAGCTAGAGGATTTGCTGGCTTGCGATGGCATTGTTGTAATCGATTTTCAGCGATTCTGTGCGGTGTCCGGCGCTGTGGCACAAACAGTCACATCCATATAGTCATGCACAACAGCATATGTACATGCTACGTGTCTTAAACACTTCGCACATGACATATATACATATTTCTGCATATATGTCTATATGCTTGTATTCACATCTTACAGTATATGTACGTCATTTATACACAACTGAAATAATACGTATTCAGTATGGTTTATGTGAATATATATATACCAAATGTATTATATGCGCACTATATATAGTATTAGGGTCCACAACATTAAATTATGTTGACGAAAACTCCCGAAAGTCTTTATGTCCCGTCTTCTTTTAGAAAGGCAATTCATTGACAATTAAATGTGTCTATCATTTACTCATGCCAGACATTGGGTGGAAATGTTGTCAGTTAACCAACCAGAATTATTTTCCGGCTCATATTGGAGGAGGTGGCTGCCTATCATTTTAATACCATCAAGCTAGATTGCCTCGGAGCATTTTACTTTCTACGCATTTCTATTTTCTCATTTATTTATTTTTTAAGACAACGACCCGAGCTGACCTCAGGCCAACTTAAATAAATACTGACAGTTTATCTAACCAATCAGGTTGGGAAAGGTGATAGCGAACGGTTATATTGTCCAATATCTTTATAGAAGACCGTGACTGACACTGAATGAGAGCAACTGAGGATACGGTTTTGTGTTGCCCCTGCACCTCCTCTCCACTATCATCATCACCATTACCTCTGTCTAGACAGTGACAGGTGTGTGTGCCCGTCTGAAGTCTAGACTGCAGGAGTCAGACTTAAAGCTGTACCTAATGTTATTTCTAGACATATTTGTTCTCAGTGTGAACATCGCACATTAAAAAAAAAATGTGTTTTATCATTAGATCCACGTTTCTTAGACTCTTGGTATGCACGCTGTAACGATATTAATATGGTGGACTAAATGCATTTTCTTATTGTTTATCTTTAATTCTGTAACAGTGGAAATGAACTGACACAATTCAATAATAAAAACAAGCAATGGCCGTATAGTTTTGTCGAGCTTAATTTGCACGGTAAATTCTGCCCGCATAATATAAAATGCTGAATGTGTTGAGAAGCGGGCAGTTTCGGAGGATCGTTATTGTCTCGGTTCCGTACGGAGCCGAGGGGTGCAGCGCGCGCCCGGGTTCCCCTACGCCGTACGTAGGTTTCGCCCCTGTTGGCGTGTATGGTGGGTGTTTTTATTTGTTTGTTTGCTTGTTGATTATTATTAGTAGTAGTATTTCTCACGAGTACTCCAGTTTCGTTTCACAAATCAAAGGTTTGCCTTTTTTATCTCCAAATTTGTGCGTGTGTGTGCCCTGCAATACTGTACTCCACCTTGCGTGTCACATTTCTCAGGATATTGCTCTCGATCACCGTGAACCCTGACTGGAGAAGCAGTTACTGAAAATGGGTGGTCAGACTCATGGAAATATAAAATTATCCGCAAATCAGCTTAATTTAAGACTGCGAACGTAAAGATTGATTCGAGAGAATTAGACAGAACACATAAACGTCGATACTTATACTCATTTACAATCTGAACTCGGATTTGAAAATATAAAATATTTTAAGATGAAAATGAATACATTCTGAATATGTAGATCTTTACTTTTGATAGTGTCCATTATTATCATGTATGTACCATGTAAATTAGCTAGCAATAAGGTATCGTCTAAATGAAAACGCTACATAAACCAGTCAGTCGCGAAAAAGAAGTGATTTTCTATCTGAAAATATCATATTAAATAAGCCTTATGACTTAGTGGTAAATGGAAATTCTTGAGTTGAATAACCACACAATAATATCCTGAAAGTTATTACAATATTAAATTCCAGTTAAACAATGCGTGCTTGTTTCCCCATTTTGATCTCACTGCTTTTACCTACCGTTGGAAACAACTACATATTTTTGTATTGATTATGAACATTTGTAACGAAAGATTTTAATCGGTCTTAACGAACCTCTCAGTCCGCTATATCTTACGTTGGTTGCTGTGGCCAGGGGCGTGGATTTAGGCCTTTTTTGAAGTTATCGTAGCATATTACATTGTTATTTTACAAAGCAAATTGCATGTTTTTGCGCCCTCTGCTGGCGGATGGTATATTAGCGTGTTGAAATGAGCTCATTCCAGATTCGAGACAGCATTAAACAGAATGAAAAATAGTTTTAAAACTTTACATTTTTTTCTCAGATCATGTTTTCCAATCCGGCTTATGTACCATCAAGTACAGTTTTGATTTGATTTGATTGCATTCTTCTTCATTTGTCTTATTTAACTATGTTAATATTGCTGGTTACAGCAGTACATTGAAAAAGGCTATGAAATATATGTTTTTTAACTAATATTATTTATCATCAATTGAATATTACAGAACATAGAATGTAGATGTAATCTTTTAGTAGTCCTTATTACACTTTCAATAAAAAAACACAGTTTGCAAAATAATCCAAGCTCTCAGTTCATAATCAAACAAACAAGACTTCCCCCGTCATACACTAAAACTGAATGTGTGTTTTTCGAAGTCCTGAATGCATAAAACTTCTGGTTCATGTACACAAAATGTCGTTAAAATGCAGGGTGTAAGTGAGAACCAGTATGTAACAGCCCAGCGCCTCCGGGGTTTGGGTTCGACTGGAGGTTCGCCTGCATTCTCGATGTCCGTGTGGGTTTTTACTAGGTACTTGGCAGTCCAAAGTCCATGGACTAATGCCTCTAAGATGTCCTTTGTGTGTAGTTTTTGAAGGACTAGCATCAAATCCAGGGTGTGTTCTGAGCATCTTGGCTCGGCTTCCTGGCCTGAAGTCTGTGGAAAATGTATTGCTGTTATTGTTTTACTTGTTTTTGTTGCACTAGAAAAGTTTGTCATCTCTGAAGTTTTGTGTGTCAGTCTTATCCTTAGACGACATCTTATCATATAAACATGTATGGGCAATTGCGGCGTGCATATAAAAGTTCTGCATAAGTAACACATGGTTTATTATGTACTTGGATATTGTTTCCAGTCTTAAACCATATTGTAGTTTCTAGTTTGTTTCCAGTCTAGTTTTGTTGCAATGTTTGTAGTCTGTAGATGTTTGTTTGTGTTTCTGGTGAATCATCATGTGTTTTTGCCAGTGTTGCTTGCAAGCACACTACTCCAACACAGTAATTTCTAGGATAAACAATTTTTGTTTGATTGATTGAACAATATGATACATTTTTTAGGTTTACACCACATATGTTATTTGTTATTTGATTTGGAAGACACAGTTAATCCAGTTCATGCCTATACTTTTCCGGATACTAAAAACATAGCATCTTCACAAGTCTCTTTGTCAGGGTATAAACTCAACAAGGTAACCAAAGAGTTACACCGGGGTACTGGCCCATGCTGATTCCATTGTTTCTCATAGTCATATGGAGTTGGCAGGTAGTTGATTTCTACTTTGAAAGGCTCATTCTAGCTCATCACACAGATATTCAGTTGTGTTGAGATCTAGGGACTGGACTAGGCAGTCACATCCAGAAAGTGCTGTTGCATATGTGGGTTTTTACTCTAACTACCTAAATAGATTACTAATTGGAGGACTGATTGGCTGAAGAGTCCTCACACCTGGGTTTGAGCAACTGACCTAAAGATTATCCCAAAAACCTTCATACACGCTGGCACTTTGCAGATAAGATTGCCCACTCCTGCATCAAACTGAAAATGGATTTTGTCGACTCATTCACCATTTACAAGAGGTAAAAAGTACCAGTTCACATATTGATCCTTCATTTTCCTCATCCTTCCACCCCCTCTTCCTGTCACATGGTGTAACGCAGTCCTGTCATTTGTTGATACAGCTTATGGAGAAAAAGGGAGCGCTTGGTTTGATGCAACTGATCTTCCTGCTGATGCAAACACGGCAGAATGGGTGTCATCTAAGAATGAGACCATATAGGGGTATGAATCGAGATCGCGATGTAAAAATTAATCATGCTACCCTAGAATGAGATTGCATAGGGGTATGAATCGGGATCGTGGTTTAATAATGATTAATCGTGCTGCCCTAGAATGTGTTCATATATGGGTATGAATCAAGAACCAGCAAACAAAGGGACCACGAGGGGCTAAAAGAAGTAGGCAAGAGCAAAACCTAAACTATAATTATCCACAAAGTAAACTACAACTAAGAAGACATGTGGGGAGCAAGAAGGGAGTAATGCACCAAAAACACAGGAACTAACACAGAGTAACAACCACAATGACTGATTGAGGACACAAGGCAAGGATAAGAAGGGGTAGGTGTGGGCTATTACAGACAAGAGACTAGGGGCAACAAGGAGTAGGTGAGGCCAGTTAACTGATACAGAACGTTCAAACACCAAGTGAAACCTAAACAAGGAACTGTAACAGAAATACACCAAGAAAACACAAAATAACATAAATGTTAAATTAATCCATAGCGAAACAGAAATCAGGATGAATGGCTGACTGCTTAGTCCGTTAAACCACACAGTGACCAAGGGAACAGGGAAACACTGGGAGTAAAGGACACAAGATGGGCAGCAACACCTGCTGGCCAAACGGGGAACAGACATACCGAAGGGGCAGGACAGGGACTGATCCTGGTGCGCAATAGAGGGCCTGGTCAACAGGAAAGGAGAGCGGGCCTGCAGGGAGGAGGTTCAACACCTGGCTGCATGGTGTGCTGAGAATAACATGGCCCTTAACATCAGGAAGACTAAGGAGCTCATTGTGGACTTCAGGAAAGCGAGAGGCTGCAGACACACCCTCAATCATATCAACGGGACTGAGGTGGAGCATCTTCAGC